CATATATGAGTAACATTCGCTTGAAACAAGTGATCCCACGTCCAATATATTACCCTAAACTCTGTTCCCCAAATTAACAATCCTGTTCCCTAACCAGTATTTACCTAGGTCTTTCCTAAATCTAAACTTATCTAACTTGTATTCATTGTTGTGTGTTCTATTTTGTGTTGATATATTTGTTGATATATATTATATATATAATGTTATATATCAACATCTATATATATTATACATATAGATGTTGATATATTATATATACAAGACTTATTAATATCCTCTTTGTCCCATTCGTTCACTCCATCCATTCGTCAGTCATGTCATCCCTAACTCTTTTTTCCTTTCTAGACAATGTAAATTAAGTGTTTTTCAGTCTTTCATAATGGAGGTTTCTAATCTGTGGTATCAACTGAACGCGTTCATGTGAATTTATGTCCATATATACAGTATGGCGACCAAAACTGAACTGCATAATCTAAATAACTGGAGAAAAACACCAGGTGTTTTGTTGCTAACGATTCTAGAAATAAATCCCACTATTCTATTTGTATTACTCCGAACATTTATCCACTGATTTTGCCGCGTCGATGAGCCTTGAGCCTAATTCTTTGATAAATAAGCTCTTAGCACACTTCCCCAGGGGCCATGTCTCGGGCACTGGGAACGTTAACAAATGTTACATGCTATTGCTATTTATAAAATGTTACATATAAACAATGTTACATGTACTTGCTATTCAAATAACATTTGATAGCACTGTGATGTTCGTAAGCTCGTAAAATATCTCAATATCTTTGTTTATATATCTAGTAACATTTCTTCCAAGATATTCCCGTTTGTGATTATATATATTAACGTGAGTGTCTTTCTTCGCCAGAGTGTCGGCCGTGTTCGGAAGAAGAGCTTCTTCAGCTGTACTGTGCAGCTGACTTCGTGGCTCGAGGCTCCATAGTTGGGGTGACTGATGACACCACACTCAGTCGCACCATCATCACCGTACGGGCCACCAAGCTCTTCCAGCAGACCTCTCCCATCTTCAGGCACTCGGGGGCCCACAACCCCTCCAAGAATGCGGAGAAGCAAGAGGAAGAAGAATTGCTAAGCAACTTCTTGCTGGACGACGAGGGCGGGTACCTTGGTCACGTGGAAGTGCCGCTACAGTGTGGGGCGAGGGGAGGCGAAGGGGAATTTCTAGTGATGGGGGTGATGCGTTTAGGGCACCCCCTTCTGCGGTGTGCCCCGAAGCATCAGGACTGGGTACGCCTGGCTATGAGCGCCCACACTAGCGCCCAGTGTCTTCTCGAGACGTGAGACATCACACTCTGCCCACAGGCATCACCGCTCCTTATTCCTACGAACTCATTCCATATTGTCGAGTCAGTATAAACTATAAAAGTGAACAATTTAAGGAATCTGGAGAGTGTGACTGGGGAACAAGACGGTGTGAATTATTTAACAAACTTTCATAGCAGTAAAGACGCTATGGCGTGTGATTTGTATGTTAAATAGCCAGTCATTTTGCTATTTTTGGATTGAAAACGAACAACTCGGTACAATATTAGACACTAAAATTTATTGTCACTGATTACATAAAGTATAACTTTCTAGCCTACTTAGAGCTACAGAGCCAAAAAGGAAAACTAGATGTCCTATCACATCCACATCTTGTGTTCCAACTTGGCACTACAGAAATGGTGAAGACTGACCGATCACAAACACGTCTATACTCGTAACAGAACAAAAACATGTTTAAATCCTGAAAAAAACTAGTGTTCAAACTCTTACAAATATATCGCGAAAGTCCTGAAAAAATAGATTCAGTGTGCCTGGGGAGTCTTCCTTGTGTTTAAAGAAATCAATAGACAAGTAGTTGAGTGCTAAAGTGAGGTGCCTCCTGGGCGTGTACTCACCTAGGTGAACTCGTCTAGTAGTGTTGTGACACGGTTGTCAGGTGTTGAATACTTTAGTGATAACATTGTTCACCATCAGAACAGTAATATGATTAAGGTGTTCAAGTTCTCTACTTGTGTTCACCCTACTTTATAAATCGTTTTATTTTTCCTGAAAAAGTGCCTCTAGCCCTCAACAATCTATTTTTGATCTCCAACTCATTTCGCTCATTATAACTATGTGTACAAAGTTGTTTTCTTGTAAATTATATTTTTATAATTTATCACTAAAATAGCAACGTTCTATGCTTGCGAGATTTGCTGCGTTAAGAACTGGTTTCAAAAATCTCTGGAGAAAACGGGCGTAATGAGGAATTAAAGAGGGCAAACTGAAGTATGATGCCCCACATGAGGCTTTCACGTGGTACAAATTCCATTTACAAACACGTGGGAGGCCTTCTCTCGCTGGTGCGGGAGGTGCAATAATTCTCGGTGTACAAAGTTGTAGGAATTATCTCTTTTTAAGGTGATTCAGATCTTGAGGTGCCCAGTTCTGAAGTGTCCAACTCTTGGCGAGCCAATTCTTGAGGTAGTCCAGTTCCTGATGTGTCCAGTTCTAACGATGCCCAATTCTATTGATGTCAATGTCTACTGACAATGAAAGTGACTTTACTGTGAATATATTTTATTACTTTATTGAATATTCTAGATGATGCAATTCTAATTGGGGTTAATTTTTATTGATTTTTGCTTACCAGACATACCTGTAACATACCTGGAGAGGGTCTCTATAGTTCTTTTCCCCGTGAAATAAGATTGGATTGTCTAAATTTGAGGTAGATATGATTGTCTAAAGATGAAAATTATAAATATATGTATACTATGAATGTCATTAACTTTGGAGTTTCCCCATTATTTGACCTACAGATGACCTAAATTGAACACAAAGTTTCGCCTGTAACCTAAAGTCAATATAACATTTAACTTATGTTCAACCATCTTTGTAAAAGTCATACAAATATTGATCTTATTCCATCAAAAATTATAAAAATGTTATGCAAATTATTTATTTTCGTAGTGAAAATTTAAGGAAAAATTGATTTTAATTTAAAAAATTAAAAATGATTACCTTAGTATTGGTGCATCAATTGAGGCAATCCCCCCCCCCCCCCCAGTGGACAAGACACAGAACTGGTCAATGATAAGAAGCAAGTTTTCCCGCATAAAAATCTTATTTATTCTTGTGATGTAAATTCGTAACCTGTGTTTTTGCTAATCTTTTCTGCTGCGTCTCATAACTGTATATTTTCCTTATTTTCTTCTTCTTGTGTTTTTATCTATGAATCTAAAGGTGCCAATAGATTTACCCGTGTCAATTTTATGTATATATGTGGTGTAGAGGTATTACAAATATCTATAAATGTGTATATATATACAACAGCTGCAAGGGCATACTTATTGATTGATCTCAGTACCGTTCCGCTTAACTGCTGTACACATGCGTTTGTCATTTGACAGATGTATATAGGCACAGCTCGTCACTTGACGTGTGTGTACACAAGTGCACTCCTCACTTGGCAGATGTACAGATACGTTCGTCAATTGACAGACGTACACATACGTTCGTCACTTGACAGACGTACACAGATACGTTCGTCATTGACAGACGTACACATACGTTCGTCACTTGACAGACGTACACAGATACGTTCGTCACTTGACAGACGTACACAGATACGTTCGTCACTTGACAGACGTACACAGATACGTTCGTCACTTGACAGACGTACACAGATACGTTCGTCACTTGACAGACGTACACAGATACGTTCGTCACTTGACAGACGTACACAGATACGTTCGTCACTTGACAGACGTACACAGATACGTTCGTCACTTGACAGACGTACACAGATACGTTCGTCAATTGACAGATGTACACAGATACGTTCGTCAATTGACAGATGTACACAGATACGTTCGTCAATTGACAGATGTACACAGATACGCTCGTCAATTGACAGATGTACACATACGTTCGTCAATTGACAGATGTACACAGATACGTTCGTCACTTGACAGATGTACATATGTACATTCAACACAACCACAACTGCTCCAATATAAATTTCCACTCATTAAGTATCAAATCCTGTTGGTTTTCTTACCATTATTTCAACCATTTAAAAATAAAACTGTTTACCACAAATCTGACCCCTCAAAGAAAACATTATTTTTAGGATAAACTTTTATTTTTTTAGAGAGAAAGAAGTACTGAATGTAAGGAAGGGGGGATCTTGCCTTTGTCTCCTACACAATGAAACTAGTCGCGAATTTAGAAATTAATTGATTAACAATATGTGGTCAAGGCCTGAGTGTATATAACTATTGTCACATTGTTGTTTCAACCGTGAATTCGTCGTGCCAAATTAGCTTTTTCCTTCCGTTTTATTTGTTTTGTTCTTCTGTGTTGTTTTATCTTCTGTTTTTTTTTTGTTTTCTTTTAATTTCATTCTATTATTATTTGTTTTTGTTATTGAACTGTACTTATGTAAACATGTCTTGTCTGTATATATTGTATGATGATTGCAAGTGAATATATTTGAATTGATTAAAAGCCTATTGTATTATTTATCTTGCCTCGATGACTGACGCACTGAATAAAACTAATATATTATTGACGCTAAATATTGAATCGGAAAAGTGGTAAGCTGGTTACCACATTAATTAAATAAATTATTTACCTCCATTAGTTCTCAATAAAAACATATTTCCCAAATAAAATAATATATTCTGGTTTTCCACACATCTATGATCAGTGTTCCATGTATTTACTGTTATATTTTATTAACTTAATCATACGTAAAAATTTTCATGAACAAATAGATTAAAATTTGCATACCAGAAGGGAAGGGAACTATCAGGAGAGAGCGCCAAGCCATTACGACTATATAGTACTGGGAAGGGGTCAGGATTAGGATTTGGGATGGGCCGGGTGAAAGGAATGGGGCCCAACCACTTCGGGGATTGAACGCCGACCTGCATGAAGCGAGACCGTCGCTCAGAGGGCTACAACTACGACAAGCAACTACCCTACAACCGCCAGTACTGGTCATAACAAATCAGATATGCCCACGCATAACGCACCCGTCTTAAACATCTCCCAGTTAAAATACACCAATAGATTAAACTCATTTTTGCCAACATTCAAGGATAAAAAACAAAGGCAAAGAACAAACTGCCCTTCATAAATTACCTCCTCACTGAGACAAATGCAATATTTGGAGCTTTCACAGAAACCCATGGACAGTGAGATCTGAATATCAGAATATAATCTATGTAGATATGATAGATATATGATAGGGTAAACAGATCACATGGAGGAATAGGTTTGTATATTGTGCTCTCGTATGCTCGGAGCTCCTTAAGGGGGGTATGAGTTGATTTCCAAAAAAATGCATTAAATGAAAACTAATTCAATTTCAAACTTTTTTGACTAGTTTTATATGAAAAGGGTATCATCTGGTCCAAGTCTCAGCATCATAGCATAAATAGGAAGGGAGACAAAAAATATTGAAATAGGTGTCAAAAAATTTCCAAAATGGTCAAAAACGATTATCAAACACAAGTGTTAACTAAAATCAAGTCTATGACTCAGCTATCACAATAGCATATATTTAAAAAAAATATAATTAGTTTTATTAAAAGTTAAAAAGAAGTTAAAACAAAAAAAATCAATTTGATTTTTCTTATTTGTTTATCGGACGATTTGCATGAAACTTATACACCTGACTGCACGTAAGCCTATATGTAAGGGAGCCAATTTTGGAGAAAATTGGTTGATGTCAACCTCAGCCAAAGATAGCAGCAGTACCTTAGACAAATATTTTCAAGATTTATTTTTCAAGTAACAAACGACTTCAAACCCTTTCATTTTAATTCTATTTACATGAAACTTACATCTTATATGTAGAGTTTATGTCTCTAAAATCTGTTGGAAGCGTTTTTTTCCTGAGTTCATTTATTGATTTGATAAATAGCAATAAACATGAAATATTTGCACAAGTTTTGGGGGAACTTTGATTATTTGTATTAGGAAAACTAAAGATGTTTGGGAAAATCCCCTCCAACAGATCCTTTATTATATGCTGTCAGAAAAGTGTCATGGAATGATTATATCTGAAAAGGTGAAAGGTTTGAACTCACTTGAAAATGTGTAATATTCGTTGAAAAAATTATTAAATCTCCCTTTCTATTTAGGCTACAGTACTGAAACTTGGAACAATTGCAGCTCTTTTCATATACAACTAGTCAAAAAATATTGGTTGACATTGAACAAAGTTTAAAAAACTAACTCATGGCTCCTTATTAACTTTACAAATGAGGTGGTAGAAGTACTGGGAGTAAAAATATGTAAAATAAACTTGGTTATTATTCTAATATAGAAACCACCAGATGCAACGGTTGAAGATCACAGAACAGATAAACAAAATAGAGAATATCCTCGATAATCTGGCAAACCCATACCAGATATTATCTTCCTATGAGACTTCAACGTGCCCAGTCTAATAATAGAATAGCGAACAGTAATATTATAAAAGGAAATCTAGATATATCCAACTACAGATCAGAGAACGGCTTAGATTCTATGACAAATAGAATCTTAAACAAATTTTCGCTCAACCAGTCAACTACAAACTAAAATATTTTAGATCTGATCTTCATAATGACGAAATAATCGAACATTACACTCTCAAATACCAAATACTTAAAATCACAATCTCATTAAAGTGCAAACTAACATCAATACTCTTAATAGGTCTAAACAAATTATCACGCGAGAGGGGTTATTCAGGTCATTCAATTAATACAATTTTAAAAATAAAAGGATATTCTGAGAAAATTATACAGGGAACTGACAAACATCCAATGGGAAACTTTCCTATTAAAAAACCCATGCAAGGAATAGAACAACTGACTTCTGAAGCATATAGTCTGTTCCTTCGCGGTAAGCCAGGAAGGGGACCAACATGGAAAGAGAACTGAAGACGGCACTACCAAAGAGGGGATAAAAAAGGGAAGGAAAAAAGAAGGGAAGTTTTCGACTGGGCAGCAGATGATAACATGATGTTTAACAGTGATAAATTCCTGGTACATAGGTATGGAAAAAATTATTACCTTAAACCTACAAGGAACAAAACACAATCAAATCTGCCCATAGTAGGAAAGGAACGTGTAAAAGATCTGGGAATAATGATGTCTGACCCCTAATGTTTATGGACCATAAGAAGCAAGTAATTATCAAAAGAAGGCACCAACCCGGGAAGGCTATGTAGCACCATACCATAACAAGCATATATAGTGGATATGTGAGCCTGCGGGCCAGCTCCTGTGCCAGGTAAGTCCACTACGGGCTCACCATAGCCCGTGCTACTTGGAACTTGTTCCGAGTAGCTGAATCTATAACAACAACAACCTGCGGGCCGCTCGAAGCAGCAGCCCGTTGGACAAAGTTATCACAAGTCGAGCCTGACCTCAGGCCAGGCTTCGGGAGTAGTAGTACTGGAATTCTCTCCAGGTAAACTCCAGGTATGGCACCGCTGATTGCTAATGTGCATCTCTCACCCATTCGACAGCAAGGGGTTGCAAGGCCTTATTTAAAGAAGTTCATTCCCTTGTTGAGTATACACCGTTTTCCTGAATGGCCTCCCCACTCCCCCTTCCTTTACCCGAATTCTGAACAAGATAGAGCACCGTACTAGAAAGCTCCTATCTAAACGTGGCCCATTTTAGCTGAACTGGTTAGTTTATCAGAGCCATGAACCCTGGAGAGATGTCGACGAGCTTACTGTTAAGTAGAAGGCCAATGTATTCAAGGTTCACCACCTGACCCAACCTCGTGGGTCTTAAGTTGGTAAGAACCAGCAAGTCATAAGTTGGTAATCACAACACTAGGCGAACACTTTGTTCAGAGTAGCTGAATCTAAAAAACAACAACTAGGCGCTCACTTCGAAGAGATTTAAGAGTCCCTGAATCTTGTAGTAATCACCCTGAAGCCCTCAACACTGCCACTCTTCTGGTCAAAAAGAGTGCCCAGCAGCTGGACACCCTCATAAATATTTAATACTGTCAAGCAGCAGCAGTATGACAGTACGTCAAGCAGCAGCAGCAGCAGTCACGTAGTAAGGACTGACATTTTAAATGCGAGCTCAGCACAGTATATCTTTTCACGACTAAAGACCACATTCACTCCAAACATCTCCCACTTAAAGGCTACTCATACCCGTGCCACCTTTGGCTGGCTGAATCATCATCAATCACCAGGCACTCAGCCACCTTACGCTAGCTGTGCCATTCTCAAAACATCACTCCATCAGCGACCATTCATTCCTGGAGTGTCTCGCATCTGGATCATGCATTAAGTCACGTCAACCGACCTTATTATGAGGGCAGCCACGTCATCCTGTAACTATCAGAACTGTAATTTACCATTAAAGTTCATTCCAAATGAACAACTCATTAAATAAATCAAATCCACGGTCAGGCTTCAGATGAGCTGATGTAGGATTGTAGTTTCAATAGCAATTGTACATCAATACTTGTACAAAAATGCAGAGCAAGCCACGAAGCAGCCAACTGCCTCGTGGCTTGAAGTTTTAATAGCAACATTATCACCATGACTACTGAATCCTAAGTTTACTTTAAAAGAAAGAGAGAGAGAAAGAGAGTGAAAGAGAAAGAGAGAGAGAGAGAGAGAGAGAGAGAGAGAGAGAGAGAGAGAGAGAGATTGTTGAGACAGCAAGGTAACCTGGAGAGGGTAATTAGTGGGTCCGCAACAGGTGTGTTACGGCAGGTACCCAGTAGCCTTGTCCAGCCAGACACGCGCGCACCCACAGTGGGTACCCCACGTGTTGTCCTAGCTGGTACCCGCATCTCGCCAGCTGGCACCCGCGTCTCGCCAGCTGGCACCCGCGTCTCGCCAGCTGGCACCCGCGTCTCGCCAGCTGGCACCCGCGTCTCGCCAGCTGGCACCCGTGTCTCGCCAGCTGGCACCCGCGTCTCGCCAGCTGGCACCCGCGTCTCGCCAGCTGGCACCCGCGTCTCGCCAGCTGGTACCCGCATCTCGCCAGCTGGCACCCGCATCTCGCCAGCTGGTACCCGCATCTCGCCAGCTGGTACCCGCATCTCGCCAGCTGGTACCCGCATCTCGCCAGCTGGTACCCGCATCTCGCCAGCTGGTACCCCCGCATCTCGCCAGCTGGTACCCCCGCGTCTCGCCAGCTGGTACCCCCGCGTCTCGCCAGCTGGTACCCCCGCGTCTCGCCAGCTGGTACCCCCGCGTCTCGCCAGCTGGTACCCCCGCGTCTCGCCAGCTGGTACCCCCGCGTCTCGCCAGCTGGTACCCCCGCGTCTCGCCAGCTGGTACCCCCGCGTCTCGCCAGCTGGTACCCCCGCGTCTCGCCAGCTGGTACCCCCGCGTCTCGCCAGCTGGTACCCCCGCGTCTCGCCAGCTGGTACCCCCGCGTCTCGCCAGCTGGTACCCCCGCGTCTCGCCAGCTGGTACCCGCATCTCGCCAGCTGGTACCCCCGCGTCTCGCCAGCTGGTACCCCCGCATCTCGCCAGCTGGTACCCCCGCATCTCGCCAGCTGGTACCCCCGCATCTCGCCAGCTGGTACCCCCGCATCTCGCCAGCTGGTACCCCCGCATCTCGCCAGCTGGTACCCCCGCATCTCGCCAGCTGGTACCCCCGCATCTCGCCAGCTGGTACCCCCGCATCTCGCCAGCTGGTACCCCCGCATCTCGCCAGCTGGTACCCCCGCATCTCGCCAGCTGGTACCCCCGCATCTCGCCAGCTGGTACCCCCGCATCTCGCCAGCTGGTACCCCCGCATCTCGCCAGCTGGTACCCCCGCATCTCGCCAGCTGGTACCCCCGCATCTCGCCAGCTGGTACCCCCGCATCTCGCCAGCTGGTATCCCGCATCTCGCCAGCTGGTATCCCGCATCTCGCCAGCTGGTATCCCGCATCTCGCCAGCTGGTATCCCGCATCTCGCCAGCTGGTACCCCCGCGTCTCGCCAGCTGGTACCCCCGCGTCTCGCCAGCTGGTACCCGCGTCTCGCCAGCTGGTACCCGCATCTCGCCAGCTGGTACCCCCGCATCTCGCCAGCTGGTACCCCCGCATCTCGCCAGCTGGTACCCCCGCATCTCGCCAGCTGGTACCCGCATCTCGCCAGCTGGTACCTGCATCCTCACAGCTGGTACCAACGTGAACCCAAAAAATTATACCCACGAGTTCTGATTTGGGTACCCAAATCGCTCCCCGAAGCGATTTGGCTTTGTTTCCTATCCTGGCCGGGGAAGATTAACTAGGCGCCAATCCTTAACTGTACGCCTCTGTTCACCCAGAAGTAATTGGAATCCTGGTTGTTAAACGATTGGCGGGTCGTATTCCAGGGGAAACTAGTGGTTAAGGCTTACCATGAACTATGGGTAAGGAAAACTAGTACCAGGATTCAGCAATCGTCTGTTCCTGAACCCATCTGTCTGTACAGAAACAAAAATGTTCACAGTTATGTAAAGTTATTAAAATTGTGTAAATTAATCATGTGCCTTCAGGTGAAATTAGTTATATAATATTCTGCTAGTGTACATATTCTCTCATATATGTACTTGTTGGAAGAGCTTCAGTTCTTGGGCCCCAGCTTTAAATCACAGGCCATCTGATGAAATAGCTTATTTATCATATCTCATTTTGAAGCTATTTAAGGAGTTAGTTTATTAAACTACCTCCTTTTAACTCATCCCACTTATTCACAACTTTTACACTGAAGTAGTACTGCCTAACCTCACTATGACCCATTTGAATTAGAGAGATAGGGCACTCAGAGACGGAGTTATGTCCATACATCTAAGAATCTGGTGTTCCGGTCATGTCTCTTGTTTCCCTTCTCTTTAACTGCGTGGCGAGGTATGGTTCCACAAGGCCCGCAGCAGACTTCATAACTTGCTCTAGTGCTGGTCTATCATCGGCAGCATACAACATGCTGAGAGCTATCTTGTTCACAATCTTGATGAGGTCATGAATGTCTGAAGACTTCTCCAACTCAAGCATTTGTTTCCTCACCTTGTACTGCCTCTGTGGTCTTCTCACCACCCTACTTAGTCACCTTACATTATTTGGATTAAAGTCGAGCAGCCATTTCTCAGACAATATTTCTAGCTTCTTCAGGTATAGACAATCCCCCGTTTCTTATCATTTCATCAGGTAGATCCCATATATCAAGGTCCTAGAACTGAACCCTGTAACACCCCGCTTGTTGCTTGTCTATTTTGATTTCTCCAGCCTCACTACTGCTATTTTCTTGCTGTGTTTACAATGTGGTGATTTCGGGGTACCAGTGCCCCCTGGCCCATTTTCTCACCACGCTACCTGCTTGTCTGATGCATCAAGTGGTTGGTGCCTGCAGCCCGTCCTAACACCGTAAGTACCATCTGGAGGTGTTTATCTACTTCCCCCTTAAAAATAATTTAAGATCTTTTGATAATTCCCCCCGGTTATTTAGTGTTGATAACTCGTCAGCATTTGCTGCACGTTCGAATGTGGTGGCCAGCATGAAATAGATATCACATCTTATAATGAGAATATAGTAGATAAACAGCTGAGTTCAGCGATTTATTAAGCAGAGTATCGCTGATTACAAGGCAAGAGGATCGCTAATAACATGACAGGTGTACCGTAAATTACAAGCAAAGGAATCGCCAATTACAAGGGAGGGAGATGGCTAAATACAAGCCAGGGCAATCATCTGTTACGAAGGCAAGAGGGTACTGTGGATTACAGATCACGGATATCGTAAACGGAAAGGCATGATGGACGATCGAAAGGTATCGCAAATAGCGAAACATGGATATCGCATCTTACCCACAAAGGATATTTATTAACATCTTTATTGACAAAATTAATTATAATTTTGCCTAAGCTGAGGATTTCGATTAAGTCTTATTAAAGTGAGGATAATGCTGGTATTCACTAGCCACACATAACATGATACACCACATCCCAGCTCTCATCACGTTAACCTATACCAGCCCGTCCTCCAGTTTTGGTACCACTTATAGGAAGGATGAGGAACATAGCACCTATACCGACGTACAACGCAGTTAGAAAGTAGAAATTGGTACTATTGAATTTGGACCAACCCGAAAACTATTTTCTATTTACGTTACAAACACAAATTAAACCAATCTAACCTCCCTAGGCCTAATACACGATATCTGAGGCCTAATATAGTACACGTGTGCTATTCTAGGCCTAGGAATATTAAAGTTTATTAGCTTCATTTTTTCTGAATATAAAGTGAATAGTACAAAACTAATTGCTTAGCACGTCAATATTTGTACTATTGTGCACATGGTTACAAAAAGTACTCTCTAAACAGGAGGATGGGTTGCCTATACTGCCAACACTGTCTCTCCCTCGCCTCCACCCGCACAAATACCTGAAAATGTGTCGAATCACAAAAGCGCTCCGACTAATTTCAATTTTCTTGCGTAGATGTATTTAGAGTATTATAAATAACAAAGCCCCAGCTCTCCTAAGCGAGAGACAGGAGGACTGAAGAGGGAGAGGGGAAAAGATGGCTAGAGCGAAGGATTCGAGGCAGTGAGGGAGGTGAGGAGAGTGAGGGAGGGAGGGAGGGGTGGAGGGAGGGGGGGGGGGGAGGGGGGGGGGTATACCTCGCCATATGGTAAGCGTGGTGGTGAGATGGGCACGTGGGCTCTCGGGGCATAACTCTGGCAGGAAGACGGCTATTATACCCCCACTACCTGGGGAGTCTTAGGGAGGGAGGACTGCTGCACATCTAGATGAGGTAAACTAGAGAGCCTAGCAGGTAAACTAGGATTAGGTAAACAGTAATGAATAGGCTTGGATAATAGGCTACGGTAACCTCTACAAATTCCCGTAGCGGTTTTGACGTTCATTACAGAAACGTATTGTAATTGGATGCTATTTTAATGACTTGCAAGAGCGAGGCTGGTAATTGGGTAATAAAAATGATTTTGAACAGATGAAAAAATTAGGTTTCATTGTTTAGTCGTGACTTCAGCCATTAATTACCTTGATAATTAAATGACTCTTTAACTTTCTAATATTCGCCTCACGATCCGTTTTATTTTTAGAATCTGTTCAGTCCTTCATTTCATTACTTTCGGATATTTTGTCTTTGTTCATACTAGGTTGTTAGGCTGTGAGCTCAATTAATAGAGAATCAAACTGTTGATTCAGTGTACAGCATCCGAATCCGATTTGTAGATAAGAAATTAATAATTTTTTTCTAAATATTTTGAGAAAAAAAATTGTTCAAAAGGTTGGAATACTTTTTTTCCGAAAAAGTTAATGTTTCATGATAATTCTTGTAACATATCTCTCCAGCACCTGGCTTGGAAAACTTGTTAGTGAAACAGGTCGGTAGTCAAGCGGCTCCCTCTGCAGCCAGGTGTTGAAAAGTGCCAGGCAGGATTCTCCTGCCCTGCACGCCCTACCCCCTCACCATGCACGCCCTACCCCCTCGCCATGCACGCCCTACACTCACCCATGCACGCCCTACCCCCCACCCATGCACGCCCTACCCCCACCCATGCACGCCCTACACTCACCCATGCACGCCCTACCCCCTCGCCATGCACGCCCTACCCCCTCACCATGCACGCCCTACCCCCACACCATGCACGCCCTACCCCCTCGCCATGCACACCTTACATCCATGCACGCCCTACCTCCTCGCCATGCACGCCCTACCCCCTCACCATGCACGCCCTACCCCCACACCATGCACGCCCTACCCCCACCATGCACGCCCTACCCCCTCGCCATGCACACCTTACATCCATGCACGCCCTACCCCCTCACCATGCACACCTTACATCCATGCACGCCCTACCCCCTCACCATGCACGCCCTACCCCCACACCATGCACGCCCTACCCCCACCATGCACGCCCTACACACCTTACATCCATGCACGCCCTACCCCCTCGCCATGCACGCCCTACCCCCCTCACCATGCACGCCCTACCCCCTCGCCATGCACGCCCTACCCCCCTCACCATGCACGCCCTACCCCCTCGCCATGCACGCCCTACCCCCCTCACCATGCACGCCCTACCCCCACACCATGCACGCCCTACCCCCTCACCATGCACGCCCTACCCCCTCGCCATGCACGCCCTACCCCCTCGCCATGCACGCCCTACCCCCTCGCCATGCACGCCCTACCCCCTCACCATGCACGCCCTACCCCCTCACCATGCATGCCACTGCGACTGCACCTTTTGCCTCGGGTAATTGGTCAGGCGCGAGCCCACCACGTGCCTCCTGCCTGTTGCTACCTGCTATGACATCCTGCCACCTTTCACCCACCCACCCACCTACCTCTCACCCATTCACCCACCCCACCTACCTCTCACCCATTCACCCACCCACCTACCTCTCACCCATTCACCCACCCCACCTCTCACCCATCAAATCTTCTGCCAGACTATCACTGAACTACTCACCCATCCTCCTGTTGCCCCCATCCCCTTATATACGTCAAGATAACTCGGCAAATACGAATGTCGAGAATGAATAAATATTACTCTTACTGTAAATGTCAATGAGTTAACACAAGAGGAAAAACCTTAAGAATTTATATGAGCATCCTGTTACAGCTGCAGTACATTCCTTTTGGTGCTAGCATCTTATGGAAAAGGAATTGGATATACCTGTCTTGCGGATGGCCTGCACGAGTACTATTGGATCTTTCTTATAGATTACTGTAACCACTATAGACTGTTAGATCCCTCATATATTATTGGCTCAGTCCTAGACAGTCTGAGCCATTCTAAACTGTTGGGACCCCTCATTGTCTTTGCTGCTGTCCCATAGGACATAGTCTAAGAGAAATTGGGCTAGTTTAAAGATAAGTAAATCAACTTCAATTTCTCTTTAAGGCTAGAGTCTTAAGAGACTTTAAGACTATCCCTCTCCTTCGTCCGTTCCTACCTCACTTCTTCCTTCTCACAGTCTCTCCCTCTCCTCCCTCCGTTCCTACCTCACTTCTTCCTACTTACAGCCTCTCCCTCTATCCCCCCCCCCCCCCAGGTCACGCGCACTACTCCTAGTCGTGATCAGCTAAGCCAGGCAATAAGCAAATTATCCTCCATGATAACATGGGCGCGATCTCCGCCCCGACCACGCCCGCACCGCCCACCTTTCCCTTGCTCATGATCCCCGCACCAGCCACACCCGCGCCGCCCACCACTCACGATCCCAACACCATCCACGCCCGCGCCGCCAACCTGCCCATTACCTACACAAAAAAAGATGGTGCATAGCAGAGCCTCGCTCTCCTGCCTTGTCCAGCCCGGCCTCACCCCGCATGTTCATCACACGAGCACGCTGGTCTCCTGTCTCGCCCCTTCGTGTCTCCTCAGGTCTCATCATGTTGATTTCTCATGTTATCTCATTTTGAAGAGGCTGTCTTTATCCACATTATTATCTATTTCCTCACAGAGTTGTTAGGAACTATAGGAGACAAGGAAAAAAATAAACCCAGAGTATTGATTTGAAACGGATGAAGGACTGTGGCGCTAAATTAAAAGTCTGTAAACAAAGTTGACCAGGTGATTGGCGTTGAAGTTGACCGTGTCCAAGGTCACGAGGAGTTAGCCAACTGTAGCGAGGGCCCAGTACACCCGGCGAGGGGTGATCATGTTCAAGATAACAACGATAACACGTGGTGGGATGTTGTAGAACATGAACAGAATCGAGTCGTGAGGGAAAATATTAAACTTAAATTTCAAAAAGAGAAAGATGACACCCATTGTCGAGTGAGATAATGATGGATAAGAAGTAACTTTTTTCTCTCAAAATTACACTCGGGAAACGCATTAATTTTAATTGTGGAACTCTAAACATTAAACATTTTTCTCCTCTCTAGTCGTAATGGGTTGGCACTTTTTCCCGGTTCAATTGTAGAATCAACAGTTGCAACTAATCTTTGTTTAAAAGTCATAAATTGGATGTGCTTTTAGTGCAAGAAGACAATGAACAAGATGTTAAGTAACTTCATGTGCTGATTATTTTGAAACCCCAATAAATCCTACGAACTTGTTGAAAGGTGGTACGATGATATTGACTGCTAAACCGGCCTACATAAAGGAATGTATTTCTATCTATGGGATGCCTATCTAAAGGGAGCCGGTCGGCCGAGCGGACAGCACGCTGGACTTGTGATCCTGTGGTCCCGGGTTCGATCCCGGGCGCCGGCGAGAAACAATGGGCAGAGTTTCTTTCACCCTATGCCACTGTTACCTAGCAGTAAAATAGGTACCTGGGTGTTAGTTAGCTGTCACGGGCTGCTTCCTGGGGGGTGGAGGCCTGGTCGAGGACCGGGCCACGGGGACACTAAAGCCCCGAAATCATCTCAAGATAACCTCAAGAAGATGCCATTGGTAAAGACTTTGTACAAGTGGTGCAGTATAGCATACACATCATAGGAAGCTTAGCATGTCACAATCTCCCGGAATTATTAAGCTGCTACCAAAAACAGGTGATTTGCATATTATTACGAACTAGAGATCACTTTCCTGGTTCAACGAAGATTACAAAATTTATTTCGAAATTGTTGGCGAATATAACTAAGATTGTAATGGACAATATTATATCCAAGGAACAGTTCTGTGGTGTGCCTGGAAGATCCATAATCAACTGTAATAATGTAATTAGGGATGTGTATTATGTGTCTGAGTATAATGTTGCTTCCTCCATGATGAACCTCGACTGGTCGAAAGCTTTTGACCATGTTGATGTTCAGTTTGTATTATAAATATTGGATAGGAGTGTACTTGGCAATAAAAAGCAATGACTATTGTCCCACCTTGTCTTCCCAATGCTATAACACTTCCTGTTGTTGGTTATGTAGACGATACCACTATTTTTGTGTCGACAGAAGACTCAATGGTGAATGTTCAGGATGAGTTAGACAACTCTGAGAGGGCAACAGGTGCTGTCATTAACAAGGACAAAACGCGTCTGATCGGGTTTGGCAGTTGTGGTAATAAAGTTACCTAGACATGTTGACCAGACCACACACTAGAAGTTGAAGGGACGAAGACGTTTCGGTCCGTCCTGGACCATTCTCAAGTCGATTGTGAAGAGATTGATTGATGATGATGATTGATGAAGATTAAGCCACCCAAAAGGTGGCACGGGCATGAATAGCCCGTAAGAGGTAGCCCTTTTAAGCCATTACCAGTATCAAGAGCTGATACTGGAGATCTGTGGAGGGCAGGCAGAAGAGGAGATTGATTGATTGATAAAGATTAAGCCACCCAAGAGGTGGCACGGGCATGAATAGCCCGTAAGGAAGAGGAGGTAGAGACAGGCAATAAATAGGCAAGAGAGAGCTGAGGAGGAAAGTAAGGTGTAGGGGATAGTAGTAATAATGAGAACTGCAGAGGGCCTATTGGCCCATACGAGGCAGATATTGATATGGGCCAATAGGCCCTCTGCAGTTCTCATTATTACTACTATCCCCTACACCTTACTTTCCTCCTCAGCTCTCTCTTGCCTATTTATTGCCTGTCCCTACCTCCTCTTCACACTCATCCACGGGAGACATTTCCCGTCACGCAGGGTGCAGTCGCACCTCCACAGATCTCCAGTATCATCTCTTGATACTGGTAATGGCTTAAAAGGGCCACCAGTTACGGGCTATTCATGCCCGTGCCACCTTTTGGGTGGCTTAATCTTCATCAATCAATCAATCTCCTCTTCACAGTCACAGCACCGCTCCTGTGCCAGGTAAGTCCACTACGGGCTCACCATAGCCTGTGCTACTTTAAACTTGTTCCCGAGTAGCTGAATCTATAACAACAACTCTTCACAATCGACTTGAGAATGGTTCAGGACGGACCGAAACGTCGTCGTCCCTTCAACTTCTAGTGTGTGGTCTGGTCAACATACTTCAGCCACGTTATTGTGACTCATCGCCTGCTTACCTGGACATGTTCATGGTTCAGGGTAGTGGAGGTTATTACGGTTCTCGGGATTTGCTGGTGAAAAACATGTGGAACGTTGATTACCAATTGGCAAGTACGATTTAGAAATATAATAGTAGCTTCGAATGTGTTGTCAAAAAGGAAATTGACCCTGTTTCAGAAGGCTGTAATAATCAATTACAAAATTTTGTCTAAAGTGTGGTATTTATCACGCAGTTTTCCCAATTGACAAGAAAATTGCTATGGAGATTGACAAAACTATTTTTAGATATGAATGGTATGGCAGAGACCAACCAATTAAACGAACTACTCTATGTAAAGGTAAGACAGACGGTGGAATAGGGAGACTGAATGTGTACCATAAGTCATTGGCAATCTTGTGTGTTACCTTTAGAAAGGAGATAATGCAAAGAAATAGTGTAAATGTTTTATGACATTATTTTTGTAAACTACATATTAGCTGCTTGATACATATGCCGGAGTATACTGACCTTGCCTTTATTTCATCTCACTTTTATTATTGTACAATTGATGTTCTCAGGCGGATTAGTAATGACGAAGGTTTTTTAATGACGAATATTAACACTTGTATGATATACTGCACCCACATATAGTTCCTAAAGTGGAGGAGGCATATCCACTCTTTAGCTGGCAAGTAATATGGACAAACCTTCATGTAAAATTTATTGCACCAAAATCCACGTCAACTATTGTATTACTATATTCATGAGACCATCTCTACAGATGATGGGTTGTTGATGTTGGGAATCATCAACAATGTGTGTGATCAATGTACTGAAATTGAGAATAATATGCCAATGTTTTTTCTATAAGTAGAAAGTTGTTTTTGTAAACTAGATTACAGACACTCTTAAAGCTTTGTATCACCAACTGTGTAACTATTTTATTGACTCAGGTGTTCTGGACGACATCCTAACAATTTATCCAAAATTTGCTTGTCCATTTTAAAGAATGAAAAACAATTTTTATTTATATTCTAAGCTGCATCATTTATGAACCATCCCTGCCCTTGTGTGGCAGTGCACAATAGAAAGCTGTTTTCACATATCCATACATTAAAACATTGATTGTAACCGTGATATATATATGTGCTTCAGCCTACAGTTTAGACCTATTGTCGTATGTATGACCCTCTGTCCTGCGTGACAGTGAATACCAGCATTATCCTCACTTTAATAAAACTATCAAAATCCTCAGATTAGGCAAAATTGTAATTAATTTTGTCAATAAATTTGTTAATAATAAACCACTACGGGGAGTTTGTCAAGGTGTTGTGTCAGCTACACAGACTCGCGTGAGCTCACTCCCTCCTGTAGAGCATTAATAGACATTACGAACTGTTACGGTACGAGGGCCGAGTGTGTGGTGAAGTGTGAGTGTGGAGGGTGTGGTGGAGAGTATGAAGTAGTGGAGGGTGAGTGTGGAGAGAAAGGGCGAGTGTGGAGAGAAGGGTTGAGTGTAAGGATGGAGTATGAGGGTGAAGGATGGAGCATGCGGGTGGAGGGTGAAGGATGGAGTATGAGGGTGGAGGGTGAAGGATGGAGCATGAGGGTCGAGGGTGAAGGATGGAGCAAGAGGGGTGGAGGGTGAAGGATGGAGAGTATGAGGGAGGAGTGTGAGGGTGGAGAGGGTGAGGTCGGGCCAAGGAGTGGCTGGCTCTAGGTTGTGAGGAGTGTGTGTGTATGTGGGGGGGGGGGGGTGCTGGTTCCGGATGATGGAGCTGGACTGAGGTCACTCATGTACTGTATAAAAACTGACCGTAGTCTCTCCCTCTCCACCCTTCTTTTCTCTCCCTTCCTTCCCACATTTAATAAACTACTACATGTCATTAGGAATGGCACTCGTGTTGCTAATGAACCTGCAAGCTTAGAGCTGCTATCCTACATCAGCTTATCTGATTTATTTAATGATCTTAGGTTGTTGATAACTAAAAATGTCTTAGATGTAAAATTAGTCACGTATGATAGCTGATAATGCAGCCCATCCTCCTGTTTTTTAGTACTTAAGAGTAACGATGAGGACCATAGTACACATACCGACGTTCAACGCAATTAGAAAGTAGAAATCAGACATATTCAATTTGTAAAAAAACTGAAAAAAATTTCTATTTGTTACAAAGTCAAACTAAACTAACCTAACTTTCCTAGGCCTAATACACGCTATATGAAGCCTAATACAATATATACGTATGCTATACTAGGCCTAGGAATACTGAAGTTTTTTAGCACAATTTTTTTCGGACTATAAAGTGAAGAGTATAAAATTATACTACATAATTTCTATGTCAATGTTTGTACTATGGTGTACATAGTTACAAAAAGTACTATCTAAACAGGAGGATGGGTTGGATAATGATGTTCTTGACAATGGTACAACCAACACGAGGCTGTTGATGCTGGTTGCCAAGTGTTGTGGCTGAGAACAATTGGTTACCCACACAGTGAGATCTCTGGCTCTGATGTGCTTATCAGTCCCACCAGTATAAATCTTCGTGCATGCTTTCCTACCTTGTCCAGAACATGGATAATTGATGACGTGCAGGGGCCAGATTCACGAAGCAGATACGCAAGTACTTACCAACGTGTACATCTTTCCTCAATCTTTGACGGCTTTGGTTACATTTATTAAATTGTTTACAAGCATGAAAACTTCCCAATCAACTGTTGTTATTGTTATAAATAGCCTCCTGGTGCTTCGGAGCTCATTAACTGTTTAATACTTGTAAACAAAGCCGCCAAAGGTTGAGAAAACATAGACAGGTTCATAAGTGCTTGCATAACAGCTTCGTAAATCTGGCCCCTGGATATCTAAGTGAGTGGTGCATATTCAAGATGGGAGCAAACTTCTTCGTTTGTTTTACAACGCCTTATGTCGAGAAGGTACGCCTTTATTTCTGGTCTACTTCACTTGCTAAGTTCAGTTGACATGTTTTACCTCCACAAGATGTCAATTTCATAACTGAACACTTTTCTAGGAAATAATTATTACAAGCCGTGAAGAATCATCCTGGCAGCAGTCTAATGGATTGATTCATGTACGTTGAGAGGTAAGGCTGCTGTGTGTGGTGGTTGTCCTCTTGCCTGGTAGGATCTGTTGTCCTGGATAAAACAGTGTATGGATAGCTACGTATCCGATATATAATTGTGTACACCGAATCTGAGAATTTGATGGTCAGTTTATGGTGTCTAAATATTTGATCCTATCTAATCATTTTTTTTTTTAATTTTTAATTTTGCTTCGACAGGTGTTCCTCCCGATGTCATTTCCTGTACAGTTGTTACACTTTATATCTCGCCGCCAATTTGCAGCAGTGTGCTCTCTGTAATTGACGTGAAAGGTAGGTAGAGCGGTAGAACTAAGTTCATAAATTGTAGGTGAAGCGAGGCTTTGTTACCGAGTACGGAGGTTTGCCTCGTCTAATCAGCCTATTATCTTTGCCGGTGATTAAGTAGTCTAGTACCATGTAGAGGCTGTATATTTCTTCCTATTATGTGTCAGCAAGTACTGGCAGCAAGCCAGAGGCGACAGAATGATTTCCGGTACTGGAGCCGTGGATCTTAATTCCCTTCAGATTTACGGCTGTCAGATTTACACTAATCATTTGTTGCCGAGCTGATTGCAACGCGAGTTTCCGTTACTGTCAAACTCCTCAGCATCTGCTGATCAATCATGTTGAAGGTGAGTTCTGATTTTCACTGTCTTCAATGATTCCACGAACTCCGAAAAGTCGTTGTGTTGGAAGATTAAATCACTGATTAAGAGACTCTCTCCTGATCTATCACACCAAGAAATGCCGCAGTCCGTTTTTTTAATTGGTCTCGCTCTATTGCGCTCCGTGGATGGTGTGGATGCTAACTAGCCAGCTCTGGGGACCTTATTGTTCCCGATTCCTGCCATTGTTAGCCTCTGTTGGGAGGCGGTCGATGGGCATACCTCGTATATATTGTGCTCAGATGCATGTTTTGGGGCTTTGTGATTTGTTGATAAAATAGCTAAATCTGGTCTGTATTCTGATAAGCTAAAAGAAACTTCTTAAATATTTTAATTACTTGTTGTGCTTGTTGCAGGTCATTAGCAAGTCTCTCTTCTTGGCACACCCGTATGGTCTATATAATGCTGTTATTCCTTCTGTATTCACTTCCCCTCTGTCTCTGAGGCTACCAAGTTGAACTTTAAAGAAATAAAAAACTTTTGGAGACTCAATTTATCTTCTCCGGTGTTGAAGAATTTAAGAATTAATTTTGGTTATATTCGGTAACACAGCGGATAGAAAGGTGGAATCCAAGAGCTAAAGTTTGACCCTGCAGCCGCAAAATAAAGACGCACACTAGGAGAAAATGAAAGTATGGTACCTTAAGTGTCTACTAAAGTTCAACTCAAGTAAGTTGGCTACTAGGAAACGGAGACCAAACATTAAAATATCATACGAGACTGGAAATCCTACTGGAATCGGACAAAGAAAGAGATTTGAAAATACTCCCAACCTGTCACCAGCAGACCACATCAGCTGAATATGGAGGACCGTCAGCCCCAACGATCACAATATATTGGTAAGACAACACCTCTTTTTAAGGCGTTTCAAGATGCACAATCATCATTTCTACATGCAACCAGATCAACACCAGTGATATCCTGACCAACAAATACTGAAATAATCCACAGATACAACGATAACAGAAGAGTAAACATTGGGCGAAGAGCTACATAATAATGACAACCTAGTATTAACAGCCAGCTCACTATCAGGTACATTCTGCCATTTTCAAGACCAACTCAGAATATCCATCACACTGCCTCAGACCATTCATAATTCATCCAACCATTCATAAGTTATGAATTATGTCTTACAACTTACAACATAAGTTGTAAGGAAACTACAGAAGGCCTACTGGCCAATGTGACACCTAACTTAACCTCATCCTTCTTGGTTATAATTGCTTATAATACAAAGAACGCAATCACGCTAACGTGATGTGTAAATGAGAAAATCCGTAGGAGCCGTCATGAGGATTCGAATCTATGCGCTTCTTGAGGTTATCTTGAGATGATTTCGGGGCTTTAGTAGGCTCGGGGCTTTAGATTAAGTAGATTTCGGGGCTCGACCAGGCCTCCACCCCCAGGAAGCAGCCCGTGACAGCTGGCCAACACCCAGGTACCTATTTTACTGCTAGGTAACAGGGGCATAGGGTGAAAGAAACTGCCCATTGTTTCTCGCCGGCGTCCGGGATCGAACCCGGGACCAAAGGATCACAAGTCCAGCGTGCTGTCCGCTCGGCCGACCGGCTCCCCAGCGTGATTCAGCGCTGGGTATTCACAGAGAACACTTACAAGGTAGAACATTCCTAGACGACAGAGCACAGTGTACGATATATATATATATATATATATATATATATATATATATATATATATATATATATATATATATATATATATATGTCGTACCTAGTAGCCAGAACGCACTTCTCAGCCTACTATCCAAGGCCCGATTTGCCTAATAAGCCAAGTTTTCATGAATTAATTGTTTTTCAACTACCTAACCTACCTAACCTAACCTAACTTTTTCGGCTACCTAACCTAACCTAACCTATAAAGATAGGTTAGGTTAGGTTTGGTAGGGTTGGTTAGGTTCGGTCATATATCTACGTTAATTTTAACCCCAATGAAAAAAAAATGACCTCATACATAATGAAATGGGTAACTATCATTTCATAAGAAAAAAATTAGAGAAAATATATTAATTCAGGAAAACTTGGCTTATTAGGCAAATCGAGCCTTGCATAGTAGGCTGAGAAGTGCATTCTGGCTACTAGGTACGACATTATTATATATATATATATATATATATATATATATATATATATATATATATATATATATATATATATATATATATATATATATATATAACAGAACACTTTCCCATATGAGAGAATCGAACCGAACCATGGGGAAGTGTTCTGTTAAAAATTCCTTGCGAGTTCATGCAAGTGTATGGCTATATTTTATATTTATATATATATATATATATATATATATATATATATATATATATATATATATATATATATATATAATGGGTTTGTTGCCAGACGAGCCCAGTTTGTTGCTAAACGATTACATGAATTACATTTATATATATATATATATATATATATATATATATATATATATATATATATATATATATATATATATATATATATATATATATAATGTGTGTGCAGACACACAGAAAGCACTAAATTATATAAGTACTGAAAACTAACATTTAACCTAAATCTCAAAACTACCAAAAATAACCAACGTACAATAGAACTTAAACAGTAAACACAAATATTAATATAACACAATATAAATAAAATTGAAAAAATAAACTAAAAAAAAAAAATTGGCTTATATTTGGCTAAAATTTGAACTGCGTAAGGTTGCATAGACATTTTTATTCAATGAATGCCGAAGCTCCAGAAAGACTCCATTATTGTTAGATCAAAAGAGCCACCATTACAATTATCCAAAATGTGGAAACCTGATTCAGTAAAAAAAGATTGAAGTAATCCTCGCCCCAAGAATGATCTCGAATTTCGGAGAACGAAGGTCTCGATAATGATCAACCAGTTCTATGCGACACTTTTCTATGTTCCAATATCCTAGTTCTTAAGTTCATAATGGAAATTCCAATGTATCTAATATCACAGCTAGAACAGGCACACGAATATACGATGTTGGAATAAATATATATATATATATATATATATATATATATATATATATATATATATATATATATATATATATATATATATATATATATATATATATATATATATATATATATCTCACACGAGAATATACAAGAATATCTTACATTTTAAATAAAAACCCATAGTATTCGAGTTAGTAAAGATAAATTTGAACTCACTGTAAAGATAACATTGAAATAATTTACAGTTGTTTTCTGATACTCATGAAACTATAGTATGATAATTTATTGTCTCGCATAAATAACATTAAGATCTGAGGGGAAGGACAAATTTATCCTGTGCAAAACTTTCAAATGGAGGATTGTACCCGAAGCAAAGGATAACTATTATTCGATAAAAGTTCCTTTAAGAACCTAATTTTAAGACCGAAATTATTCTAAGTAGAGCTCAACCCAGAAGCTCTATTCGCCAGGGTACTAACGGAATTCCTCTAACGCATCTCAAGGGTGGGGGGGAGGTTGAGGGGTAACAAAGGAATGAAAGTTCAGACCTAGCTCAGTAAATGTTGCTTTTCTATATACACACGTATTAAAACCATTAACATTGACTATTTCACCACTAACAAAGGACAATTAATTTTTAACCTCGCACTCGGCAACAAAATTTATATTACAGCATTTATGTAATTAAATTTAACAAAAATCTCGAAATAATATTCGTCCACATATAAAAAAAAAACGTTTAAAATCAAGGACAACTAGTCAACTCTTCTCATAAAAGTACAAAAATATAATCACGAGAGACCCAATGGAGGCCCCGTCACAACTCCAACATGCTTATATCTAGACATGTTCTTCATCTGCCTATTCTAAAAGCAATCTAAACTATGTTTTATTGAAACCAAAACAACAATTAGAATTGACAAACAACTGATTCCCAGGCGGGAGAAATTGACATATGTCTAAATTATATAATAATATAATATATAATATAATATAATTATATATATATATATATATATATATATATATATATATATATATATATATATATATATATATATATATATATATATATATATATATATGTCGTACCTAGTAGCCAGAACGCACTTCTCAGCCTACTATGCAAGGCACGATTTGCTTAATAAGCCAAGTTTTCATGAATTAGTTGTTTTTCGACTACCTAACCTACCTAACCTAACCTAACTTTTTTGGTTACCTAACCTAACCTAACCTATAAAGATAGGTTAGGTTAGGTAGGGTTGGTTAGGTTCGGTCATATATCTACGTTAATTTTAACTCCAGTAAAAATAAATTAACCTCATACATAATGAAATGGGTAGCTTTATCATTTCATAAGAAAAAAATTTGAGAAAATATATTAATTCAGGAAAACTTGGCTTATTAGGCAAATCGGGCCTTGAATAGTAGGCTGAGAAGTGCGTTCTGGCTACTAGGTACGACATATATATTTATATTTATTATAATGTGTAAATAATAACCATTTTGAAAATACGAGGAAACGTAGATTCAATATTTCGGTCACAAACCGGAACCATTCCACCCCCCCCCCTTCCCTCCCTAAGCAGGAAAGTGTAGATGGCAAGTATAAGACACATGGCTGAGTGAGGGCCAGTAAGGAAGAGCACCAGTACCTGTGACGTTTGCTGCGCCTGTTGGAAAAATGTCTTATCTCTGTGCGAACATCTACCCAGCTTCATCAGCCTGATACTTTCGAATTACTGGAGACATCGTTAGTTCTTTTATGGTATGTGTGACTGGTGTAAATTCCTCCACTATGTAAATTGCGACTTATGATGTTGCATTTGCGTAATTACTACCGCATGTTTGCACTGTCCACTGACTTGTTTGCGATCTCAGTTCTGCAGCTTCCACAAATGAGTTTAATTGTATTTTTGTACGAACAAAGAGAATATCAGACGGTACGATTTAAACAATTTAACTTCAATATTATAGCCAAAATATATTTAAATAGGCTCTGGAAATGCGGCTCTAATATTCTATTACCAGTAACATTCCCCAAACATATTTTACACAGGAAAAAATAGCACAAATAACATGCAGTTTTGCTATCAGCCTTGACAGGGTGTGACTTACCTCATTATTCTTGTAGTAATAACCTGCTCAAACTTGCCGCATGGTACGAAAATTTGCCAAAAGGATATTTAATATGTGCAACATGTACGTATTCTAAAGGGGGACAATTATTAACTCTTAGGAACAATTTGGTGTCCCTAAGTGGCATAGTGTACCAAACAAGTTAACTTGTTAGTTTACTGGCATGATTTTACTTATAATTATAAATTTTACTTATAACCACGAATGCTTACTTGTGCGTTGGCAGTTGACCCCTGATCGGCGTCGTGAAGCCGTGTAGTTGGACGAGCACAGTTGGTGGCCATAAGAGCACAGTTGGTGGCCACAAGAGCACAGTTGGTGGCCACAAGAGCACAGTTGGTGGCCATAAGAGCACAGTTGGTGGCCATAAGAGCACAGTTGGTGGCCATAAGAGCACAGTTGGTGGCCATAAGAGCACAGTTGTGGCCATAAGAGCACAGTTGGTGGCCAAGAGCACAGTTGGTGGCCAAGAGCACAGTTGGTGGCCACAAGAGCACAGTTGGTGGCCAAGAGCACAGTTGGTGGCCACAAGAGCACAGTTGGTGGCCATTGGTGGCCAAGCACAGTTGGTGGCCACACAGTTGGTGGCCATAAGAGCACAGTTGGTGGCCATAAGAGCACAGTTGGTAAGAGCACAGTTTGTGTCATAGAGCACAGTTGGTGGCCATAAGAGCACAGTTGGTGGCCATAAGAGCACAGTTGGTGGCCATAAGAGCACAGTTGGTGGCCATAAGAGCACAGTTGGTGGCCATAAGAGCACAGTTGGTGGCCATAAGAGCACAGTTGGTGGCCATAAGAGCACAGTTGGTGGCCATAAGAGCACAGTTGGTGGCCATAAGAGCACAGTTGGTGGCCATAAGAGCACAGTTGGTGGCCATAAGAGCACAGTTGGTGGCCATAAGAGCACAGTTGGTGGCCATAAGAGCACAGTTGGTGGCCATAAGAGCACAGTTGGTGGCCATAAGAGCACAGTTGGTGGCCATAAGAGCACAGTTGGTGGCCATAAGAGCACAGTTGGTGGCCATAAGAGCACAGTTGGTGGCCATAAGAGCACAGTTGGTGGCCATAAGAGCACAGTTGGTGGCCATAAGAGCACAGTTGGTGGCCATAAGAGCACAGTTGGTGGCCATAAGAGCACAGTTGGTGGCCATAAGAGCACAGTTGGTGGCCATAAGAGCACAGTTGGTGGCCATAAGAGCACAGTTGGTGGCCATAAGAGCACAGTTGGTGGCCATAAGAGCACAGTTGGTGGCCATAAGAGCACAGTTCGTGGCCATAAGAGCACAGTTCGTGGCCATAAGAGCACAGTTCGTGGCCATAAGAGCACAGTTCGTGGCCATAAGAGCACAGTTCGTGGCCATAAGAGCACAGTTGGTGGCCATAAGAGCACAGTTCGTGGCCATAAGAGCACAGTTCGTGGCCATAAGAGCACAGTTCGTGGCCATAAGAGCACAGTTCGTGGCCATAAGAGCACAGTTCGTGGCCATAAGAGCACAGTTCGTGGCCATAAGAGCACAGTTGGTGCCCATAAGAGCACAGTTCGTGGCCATAAGAGCACAGTTGGTGGCCATAAGAGCACAGTTGGTGGCTATAAGAGCACAGTTGGTGGCCATAAGAGCACAGTTGGTGGCCATAAGAGCACAGTTGGTGGCCATAAGAGCACAGTTGGTGGCCATAAGAGCACAGTTGGTGGCCATAAGAGCACAGTTGGTGGCCATAAGAGCACAGTTGGTGGCCATAAGAGCACAGTTGGTGGCCATAAGAGCACAGTTGGTGGCCATAAGAGCACAGTTCGTGGCCATAAGAGCACAGTTCGTGGCCATAAGAGCACAGTTCGTGGCCATAAGAGCACAGTTCGTGGCCATAAGAGCACATTTCGTGGCCATAAGAGCACATTTCGTGGCCATAAGAGCACAGTTGGTGGCCATAAGAGCACAGTTGGTGGCCATAAGAGCACAGCTTGTGGCCATAAGAGCACAGTTTGTTGCAAGAAAAGCACAGTTTGTTGCCAAAAAATCACAGTTTGTTGCCAGAAAATCACAGTTTGTTGCCAGAAAATCACAGTTTGTTGCCATAAGAGCACAGTTTGTTGCCAGAAAATCACAGTTTGTTGCCAGAAAATCACAGTTTGTTGCCAGAAAATCACAGTTTGTTGCCATAAGAGCACAGTTTGTTGCCAGAAAATCACAGTTTGTTGCCAGAAAATCACAGTTTGTTGCCAAAAAATCACAGTTTGTTGCCAGAAAATCACAGTTTGTTGCCAGAAAATCACAGTTTGTTGCCATAAGAGCACAGTTTGTTGCCAGTAAAGCACAGTTTGTTGCCATAAGAGCACAGTTTGTTGCCAGAAAATCACAGTTTGTTGCCAGAAAATCATAGTTTGTTGCCAGAAAATCGCAGTTTGTTGCCAGTAAAGCACAGTTTGTTGCCATAAGAGCACAGTGTTGCCAGAAAAGCAGAGTTTGTTGCCAGAAAAGCAGAGTTTGTTGCCAGAAAAGCAGAGTTTGTTGCCAGAAAAGCACAGTTTGTTGCCAGTAAAGCACAGTTTGTTGCCAGTAAAGCACAGTTTGTTGCCAGTAAAGCACAGTTTGTTGCCAGTAAAGCACAGTTTGTTGCCAGTAAAGCACAGTTTGTTGCCAGTAAAGCACAGTTCGTTGCCAGTAAAGTGCAGTTTGTTGCCATAAGAGCACAGTTTGTTGCCATAAGAGCACAGTTTGTTGCCAGAAAAGCACAGTTTGTTGCCAGTAAAGCACAGTTTGTTGCCATAAGAGCACAGTTTGTTGCCATAAGAGCACAGTTTGTTGCCATAAGAGCACAGTTTGTTGCCAGAAAAGCACAGTTTGTTGCCAGTAAAGCACAGTTTGTTGCCAGTAAAGCACAGTTTGTTGCCATAAGAGCACAGTTTGTTGCCAGAAAAGCACAGTTGGTTGCCAGAAAAGCACAGTTGGTTGCCAGAAAAGCACAGTTGGTTGCCAGAAAAGCACAGTTGGTTGCCAGAAAAGCACAGTTGGTTGCCAGAAAAGCACAGTTGGTTGCCAGAAAAGCACAGTTGGTTGCCAGAAAAGCACAGTTTGTTGCCAGAAAAGCACAGTTGGTTGCCAGAAAAGCACAGTTGGTTGCCAGAAAAGCACAGTTGGTTGCCAGAAAAGCACAGTTGGTTGCCAGAAAAGCACAGTTGGTTGCCAGAAAAGCCACTATATAGTCACAGGAGCCCAGTTTGCAGGGCGGAAAATGTCTCGAGAATTATAAGGGTTTCACTGAATAAAGAAAACTCGCGCGGTGATGATTGTACGGGATTGTGGGCAGGGTTCCCACGGCGGACCCACCCAACTATAGACCTTTGCCAGTAAGGAGTTAAGGTTGCCGTAAAGTCCTTCCAAGGATACCACAGTGCACGTGCAGCGACCTGGGCAAGCAAGGTGTGCACCTAGAGGCGACGGGTCAAGAGGTCGCGTGTGCACGTAGAGGCGACGGGTCAAGAGGTCGCGTGTGCACGTAGAGGCGACGGGTCAAGAGGTCGCGTGTGCACGTAGAGGCGACGGGTCAAGAGGTCGCGTGTGCACGTAGAGGCGACGGGTCAAGAGGTCGCGTGTGCACGTAGAGGCGACGGGTCAAGAGCTCGCGTGTGCACGTAGAGGCGACGGGTCAAGAGGTCACATGTGCACGTAGAGGCGACGGGTCAAGAGGTCACATGTGCACGTAGAGGCGACGGGTCAAGAGGTCACATGTGCACGTAGAGGCGACGGGTCAAGAGGTCACATGTGCACGTAGAGGCGACGGGTCAAGAGGTCACATGCGCACGTAGAGGCGACGGGTCCAGAGGTCACATGTGCACGTAGAGGCGACGGGTCCAGAGGTCACATGTGCACGTAGAGGCGACGGGTCCAGAGGTCACATGTGCACGTAGAGGCGACGGGTCAAGAGGTCACATGTGCACGTAGAGGCGACGGGTCAAGAGGTTGCGTGTGCACGGTGACACGCCTCAGCAAGCAATGAATTCCCTCCAAAAAACGGGGGGTGGGGGGGGGGGGTCCGGCGTGACTGCCCCGGGGTACGAAGGCTTATTATTTACTTATTGTATGGCTCACCAATGCAAGACTCTTTCTCGTTCATTTTAGTCAATAATGATGCGTTACTGTGGTTCAGAAGTTGCAACAGTAATCCTGGTATTGACTTATTTTGGGACTTAATCCCATATACTTTAATTAACCGCTCACCCCGGGGGGAAAATTGACCCTGTGGAAACTCGGTGAGCGACCAAATTATTTCACTGTACTCTGTACTGTTCATTTTATTCTTTACAATTATTTTTAGAGAGTGGCGCGGTGGCATATATTTTATTTACGCGTCATTACAAGTACATCATGCAAATAGTATATTAAATATTTTGTCTAATAAAACTTAATTCGTCTCTCTAGCTGCTTGCGTTACTGAGTTATAAATTAATAATGTTTTCAATGCTTGGTTAAATCGTGGGCGGGTGAACGATCATTCCCTTATCTTTTCGTTACTGGCTGCTACAGGTGGCAGCAGAGCAACGTGTTGAATGGTCGATAATATCTCGCTGGAATTGCTATTATTTATTTATTATTATTACTATTTATAGTTTAATAAATGCATTTAATTACAAGTATTTGATCGAAGTGTGCCACGGACACTATGAATGATCAGGCAGCAATATTCGTACTGCTTCACGAAGTCTAGGACAATGTTCCTTGTATTCTAACACGATCGTCTGTCCTGTCACCTCACAGCAACGGTTGTTTGATCCGTGAGGCCAGTTACACAACGAGTGATCAGTGAGGCCAGTAACGTAACTAGTGATCCGTGAGGCCAGTAACGTAACGAGTGATCCGTGAGGCCAGTAATGTAACGAGTGATCCGTGAGGCCAGTAACACAACGACAGGGAGGTAGATAGGGCTGAAGGAAGACAGAGAAGGAGGGAGGAAGAGAGAGCTAGCCGAGTGAAGAAGAGACTGGACCTCCTTGACACCGTTCTCCAGGTGGGTCCCTCAGTCCCTCACTCACTTAATATACCCAGGAGCTTCTCTCTTCTACAGTCTCTCACATTACCGTATTTTCGTTGTGCTCTTCCTCCTTCAGCTTTTCCTTCTCTTTATTATCCTCCTCCTTCTCAACCCTCTCCTCCTCCACATCCTCCTTCTTAACCTCCCCTTCCTCCTCCTCTTCCTCCTCCTCCTATTAAGCGCTTCCAGATGTCTTCAAGACAATATTTATCTTCTAAGGCCTAAGGAACCTTTTAAAATAACGTTGACAATTGACTTGTGTATCCTAGTGATTCCCTAGTAGTCCTTCACCAGCAGGCGCGTTCCCTCGGAGTAGCCTAAGCTTCATATCGTCTAGAATTTTTCCCCTAATCTCTTAAATTCTTTGGTAACTAAATTTGTCATCCCCTTATTTACAGGTTGTGTATATGCTCCGTTTAACAGCCTATGTTCCTTTCTAGCAGTCTTTATTCCTTTTACCAGCCTTTATTCATTTCTAGCCGTCCATACTCCTATTGAGAAGCCTATCCTTCTTTCTTGCAATATATGTTCCTTTCTAGCATCCTATGCTCATTTCCATACCCCCCCCCCTGCCATACATACATACATACACTCACACATGCATCATCCATTATTCATACCAGACCGAGCAGAGCCGTAGAAGATCAGGCCAGCACCTGCGTGTCTGCGCAGCCCGTCTCTTGAGTTAGCACAAACGACAATGTGGTACAGTGGCGTTGTGGGCGCGAACTGGCCTAACCCACCCAAACTACCAACCCGCGCATAGAAAACGTGGTTGTTTGTGAGGCGATGTTGATTGATTGATGAAGATTAAGCCACCCAAAAGGTGGCACGGGCATGAATAGCCCGTAAGTGGTGACCCTTTTGAGCCACTACCAGTATCAAGAGCTGATACTGGAGATCTGTGGAGGTGCGGCTGCACCCTGCGTGACGGGAGATGTCTCCCGGACCAAATGGTGACCAAATGGTGTGAGGCGATGTGATTCATAGTGCGGCGTATTATGTCCGTTGAGCATGTTGGCGTCAAAATACGATGCATTATTTGAGGGGTAGAGGTTGGTGCGTGAGCGGCCGTAGACGCACTGTGGGAGGAAGCACCGAGGCGCGGCGCGGGTGTAATCATAGTTATCTCCCCCGTGGATCCATACCCTAGGCTATCATTGCCCCGCTGGGAACCCGTCGTTTGTGGTGGGAGTGTTTGAAGTAGCAGGAGCGGGACGCCTTGTAAATATGATGAGGGCAAAGTTGATTCTTCTTACAATACCCTAGTTGTTCTTCCCCTCGTTCTGGTCTCACCTCCTATGAATAATGAACCAGAGCATATTGTATGCCGTGATTATGTCCACCGCGGGTTCTCTTTCAACCCTCTTACAATACCTCTTTGTCCTTGCTAGGAGAGGGAGGGGGAGGAAGGAAAAATATCAGGAAAAAGACCTAAGCCAAAATGTTTATATAGCATATGAGAGGGATACGAGAATATGGAACTGGGATTTGAGGATTATGAATCGGAATGGTCCCCAACCAATTGGACCGTTGGGGATCGAACGCTGACCTGCAGCGTCCATGTCAGCGGCTGCAGTCGTCTCTGTGAATCGGCCTCGATAGGTTAGGTGGGTTGGTTGGGTTCGTATGTTTCTGGTTAGGCAAAACAGTCGTATTTTGTACGGATGGGATGAGCAAGTCGTTCACCAAGCTGGGGAAAACTTGTTCACCTTTTAAAATCCTCCCGTTCTCTTAAATTGCCACTCCGTAAATAATGCAACTGTTTTGCCTTACCAGTAACGTACGAACCCAAGCCACCCACCCAACCTGTCGAAGCCCATGCTTAGAAACCGTCGGTTTTACGGAGGTTTAATTTGTATTAAGTGTCGCATATTTAACGGATTGGTTTAATCCGTAAAACTGCGACGTATTGGGTGAGATCGCGGCCCGCCTGTCACAGTCAGCCCACCGTGTTCACCCTCACCTAGGGCCTGGTGGCAGCCCCCTAGGCAGGAAATTCTCCTAAAGTTAATTGAAAGTGTCCTCTCTTAACATGACACACTAAGCTGGAGGACCAAAACAGAAAACGGGACAGGACATCATCTTCATGAACCGATTTCATTTCAAATTACGTCAGTTTTGGGCCATTGCGCACATACCAGCGAAAAGCGAAGTAATTTTAAGAGGACGGGTTGGGTTGGCAGTGTCTTTTATGTTTATATATATATATATATATATATATATATATATATATATATATATATATATATATATATATATAAACATATATATATATATATATATATGTCGTACCTAGTAGCCAGAACGCACTTCTCAGCCTACTATTCAAGGCCCGATTTGCCTAATAAGCCAAGTTTTCATGAATTAATTGTTTTTCGACAACCTAACTTACCTAACCTAACCTAACCTACCTATTTCGGCTACCTAACCTAACCTAACCTATAAAGATAGGTTAGGTTAGGTAGGGTTGGTTAGGTTCGGTCATATATCTACGTTAATTTTAACTCCAATAAAATAAAATTAACGTCATACATAATGAAATGGGTAGCTTTATCATTTCATAAGAAAAAAATTAGAGAAAATATATTAATTCAGGAAAACTTGGCTTATTAGGCAAATCGGGCCTTGCATAGTAGGCTCAGAAGTGCGTTCTGGCTACTAGGTACGACATATATATATATATATATATATATATATATATATATATATATATATATATATATATATACATATATATAATGTTGTACCTAGTAGCCAGAACGTCGTACTCGGCCTACTATGCAAGGCCCGATTTGCCTAATAAACCAAGTTTTCCTGAAATAATATATTTTCTCTAAATTTTTTCTTATGAAATGATAAAGCTACCCATTTCATTATGTATGAGGTCAATTTTTTTTTATTGGAGTTAAAATTAATGTAGATATATGACCGAACCTAACCAACCCTACCTAACCTAATCTAACCTATCTTTATAGGTTAGGTTTGGTTAGGTAGCCGAAAAAGTTAGGTTAGGTTAGGTTAGGTAGGTTAGGTAGTCGAAAAAACATTAATTCATGAAAACTTGGCTTATTAGGCAAATCGGGCCTTGCATAGTAAGCAGAGAAGTGCGTTCTGGCTACTAGGTACGACATATATATATATATATATATATATATATATATATATATATAT